GTCCAGAAATTCCTTGAGAAATATAATTTATCCCCCAAACTTCTCTGGTGAGTGGAGAAATTTACTCTAGCTTAAATAAGTCCATTCTTTCAAGCAATATTCAAGGGCCCTTGCAGTTATTTCTAATTTAATCTATTTATATATTTTCTGTTATTATTGCAATAGTTTTTTGCTTGGTGGCAAATATTAAGTATTTAACAGCAGCAAGATAGATAGTTCTTGTGGTCTAGCCTGGAGCTCTATCCACATTTTATTTTAGTAGAAAATGCATTTTGAGTTTAAAATGACCAAGGGAAGATCAAACTTTTCTAATGTAATTTTCCCCTATATGCAGAAAAGCAGAAACAGCATAATAAAGCCTTCACTTTGAAAGTGAACCTCAGTGACATTAAATATTTAGCTACAGCCCTGGCAGGTTGGTTGGAGTGTTGTCCTGTGCACCACAAGGTTGCTGGTTCAATTCCTGGTCAGTGCACATACCTAGGTTTTGGTGGGGGCACGTACAGAAAGCAACCAATCTATACTTTTCTGTCTCTAAAATCAATAAAACATATCCTCAGGTGAGGATTTAAAAAATAATTTTAGCTACAGTGAGCCTTTCAGGATCCTATTGACCATGAATTACTTTCTGGACTGGACATAATATTAGGTGGAATCATATGAAATTGCTCTTTTTGTGCATTAAAAACAGTTGAATATTGGCAGTTTTACACAGTTCAACCTTAAAGTCTGAAGTTTTATAGATATACAGAGGCTTCAAGAATTGATGGGTTCCTTTCCTCAGAATTCTTCTTACTATATTTAAGATAAAGCTAGCAACATTAATCTTACATAATTCTAATTCAATTTTGGAAATAATGATATTGGTAAGGACACTGAGCTTTATCTTTGTGGTTGGATCTCCCAACAAGTCCTAGGAAAAACTCCCTTATAAGAGGCATATCTCAGTGAAAGACTTATTTTTTCCAGTGACTAGAGCATGCTTCTTTTTAAGCAATTTTGTTTTTATTCCAGAATAAGTGTGTGATTCCAGATAAGCTCATAAATGTTTTAAAATAGAGCTTGCCTGATGTGTGGTATTTTTCCATCTGTGTAGTTACTGGGAAGCATTTACTCATGATATGTCTAAGCGGATTGATTCTCCAGAAATAGAGGTCTCTAGGAATACATTTTTTTGAAATGTATTCCTGGCATTCCCAGCACGTATTTTAAGGCGAGTGATTTGAATGCCTTTTTTTTTCCTTCCACATACTTCTATGACAGGTTTGAGCAATGTTACTAACTTTGCTGCCTCCTTACCTCTACTAGATTTTTACTTCTGTTGTATATTTTTCCCCATATTCTTTTCTGCCTCTCTTTTTGAGGAATTTGTAAGGTTAGATACTAGCACCTTATGCAATAGTTGCATATCTTTTTCAACTAAGAATATTATGATGCTCAATGAGCCAGTAATTACAGTGTCTTCACGTTCTTACGAACACACTCAAGCATAGAGTCCATGATAATTAAAAATAAGATTTTTAAAGAGTATCCAGTTCTTAAATGATAGGGACAAAAGTGCCCAGTTCTTAAGTAAATACTTTTCTGTTGAATCAGGCAAAAGTATGTTTAAATTGAGCCTCCGTAAGGTAGCCAGGTTTATAAGGCACTATATCAACTTTCCAGAGAATTCCTGTTGTTTTCTCTCATCTTTGACACGTGAGGAGCAGCTATGTTCCTAGAGCAGCTGCTGCTGTATTCTTGTTGCTTCTCAGAGGTGAATAACATTGGGGGGTACTAGTGCTAGATAGTAGGCATGATTTATGTTTTCATCTGGGAGGAAAATAATAGGATTTTTAGAGAGTTGAGAGTTGCATGAGTAACAGAATCCAGGATTAACCTTGTTTAGAAAGTTGTTAGAAACACAGAAATGTGTAGCTTTATTGGATCACTTTGATCAGTTGAAGAAAGGTAGTGATGTTTTATACATCTAATGCATACATTGTAAACTAGCATTTAACACCAAGGCCTTCTGTCTGAGATGAGCAGCTGGTAGGTAGTCTCACACGCTTTAGTTTTTCTTCTGTCAATAGTCCTGGAACCCCGTCCCACCCTTATGAACATTCCTCTCCTGAAAAAATTTTATTTTATTTTATTTTATTTTTTATATTTTATTGATTCTTTACAGGGAGGAAGGGAGAGGGATAGAGAGTTAGAAACATTGATGAGAGAGAAACATCAATAAGCTGCCTCCTGCACACCTCCTACTGGGGATGTGCCCGCAACCAAGGTACATGCCCATGACTGGAATCGAACCTGGGACCTTTCAGTTCGCAGGCCAACGCTCTATCCACTGAGCCAAACTGGTTAGGGCCTGAAAAAATTTTATTTAAACAACAGTATTATATACTCCTGTTATTGATGAATGTTGAGATTTATATATTTTAAAATTACATTTTAGATTTCCTTTTTCTTTTTTTCTGGAAGCTGCTTTTCTTTAAAGGTTTAGCTCTATATTTCTCATACAGTTATTTATATACCATCTTCGTGAATTTTGTCATGTCTGTGTACCACTTGTATTATTATTTACTTAATATTTATTTTAAATTGATTTTAAATCAATATACCCTCCTTTTATTTTTTTTTATTTTTTTTAAAAATATATTTTATTGATTTTTTACAGAGAGGAAGGGAGAGAGATAGAGAGTTAGAAACATCGATGAGAGAGAAACATCGATCAGCTGCCTCCTGCACATCTCCTACTGGGGATGTGCCCACAACCCAGGTACATGCCCTTGACCGGAATCGAACCTGGGACCTTTCAGTCCGCAGGCCGACGCTCTATCCACTGAGCCAAACCGGTTTCGGCAATATACCCTCCTTTTAAATTGAGATAGACCCCTGGCTGGGTAGCTTAGTTGGTTGGAGCATCGTCCCAATAGGCCAATGTTACAGGTTC